CTTCAAGAATATTTTCTCTTACAATAGCATTGCAGTTATCTTGATGGATATGAGGGCCTGATTCACTGGAATCAGTTAGACTAGGCTGACCAGCTTGTGCTAGTGTAAGTATGAGCAACTGGCCATTTTTTTAGGACAGGATTATAAAATGCCATCCTCTACATATGATAGTCCACCAGCAAGGCAACTTCTGCTGTCTTGTCTTACTATACATTAAAAACAATATTTTCTAGTTTCTAGTGCAAGTGTGTTGTCCGGTTTACTTGCCATGCTATATACCTTCAAGCAGGATATCCACCAGTCCATTAAAGTATCTTCTTTCTTCCAATCACATATGAACTTTGTTCCTTTGTTTCATTTTTAATGCTGTAATGTAAGCCATTCTGACTTGTATGGAGTTGGAGAACCTCTGCAATGAATGTATGCATGAATGAAGTTGAAACCAGGCCAATCTATTTTACAAAACTACATGGATATATCCATGAAGTCTTCAGAGTTGAGTACAAATTGAAGAAGGTTTTGTTGAAAAATTGATTAAATTCAGACACATGAAGCACTTATCTGTGTTTCTAACATATCTTCATATACATCTTCTCTATTATTACAATCATATCCTACCTGTATAGGGTAACCCTGAGTGTCAAGGATCCTAGCCTGTAAACTTAACTTTTGGCTTCCATTCTTTATAATATTGCCCTTTTCCTTGGTATTGACTTATAATTAAATTGTTACTGTATTCTGGTATTTGAGCAATTTATTTACAATACAATTTATTTACAATACATGTTATTAAAAAACATCTGTTCACTCATATATTTCCAAATATCGTCTGATTTCAAGTCTTATTAATGTTTTTAGGATTTTGCTTACATTATTTTATTACAATATGGTAATAATTTAAAAAGTCAAGGAATTTAGTAGTAAAACAAGCAGCCCCCCCCCCCAGGACATTTCTGTTAACCTGGTAATTTAGATACTGTTCTATATTTTCAGTTATAAAATTTGCCATCAATTATTAAACAGATTTTGTCTCTGTTATTCTTAGTATTTAGAATTAATTATATTATTTAAATTTTCTATCTATAATCTGATGCTACCCTAACTTGAACACAGAACTATGGATGTAAAATTTACTTGAGCAATTATTCCAGAAAGTTTATAATCCTTTGTTAGTTTATTTATTTTGCCCAACTGACCCTATTCCTTGTTATCTCTTTGAAAAACAAATATGTATTTATTTTAGAAAGCTTCTACATTGCTTCAGTTAAAAATGATTTTATAGTATAAAATTCCCATCTACAGAAATCTACAGAACAACCAATATGTTAAAAAAATGGGAACATACAACAATTAACAGTCCAATGTTAAAAACACCATTCTTTTCTAGAGGTAGCAATTACAACATTCCGGCACCAAAGTGAAACAATCATATTTTAGGCAATTTCTAAAACCAGGAGGGAAAGGGCCCTACAGATGTCCTGGGGCAAAGTATTCCACAATGGCATTTGTGACCGAAAAGACACATATCAGCACCTGCTGAATTCTTTTATCCGTGTGTATGTGTGTGTGTGTGTGTAATTTTATTATATATCTGTGTGTGTGCATGTATTTGCACGCCAGTATGAGCCTAAATCGCATATACAAGAGAGAAATATAGAAAATACAAGCACTTTTTGTTTGAAACTACTAATTCAGTTTTAAATGACCCTCAGAATACTTTTTCCTTTCCAAAAGCCCATTGGAAAGATTATTCAAATACTTAGAAGCCCGCAGTAGTTCTTATACAGTATTGATTTCAGCAGGACCATGATGTAATCATGTAGTATTGCTTTTTTCCTTACAAAGAAAAAACCCCTAGCATTTGAAACAATAAAAGTTTGAAGCTGATGAGAGCCTGCTTTTTGTTTTGTTTTGCTTTGCTTTGTTTTCATCTTTTGACATAGTGGCTGTGGACGCTTTAGTGTAACAAGCAAATTAAAGTTCACAGTCCTTATGCAAGGAAACTGACAGCTTCACACAAAATGCTTGCAGTATCATTGGAATTAAGTTTCTTTGATGGATTTTTAAGCTTCGAAGGAACAGGAATGTCCTATTGATATAATTATATCAGGCCAGGCAGAGGCCTTGCTTGTGTAATCCATCTGAGCACAAATAGCACATTATGGTGTTAGCATTATTTCCATGTGAAAGTGACTACATTTGGCTAAGCCTACGAAGTTATCCTGATTGACACATTTATAAATGGGTCACTTGGAATGTGCATTATAGATTCAAAGAAGAGAGCAATCCACCTGGTATTTAAGAAGGGAGGTCCTGGGAATCCGCCCATCAAAGGAGCCCTTTCCACCTCTATTACCCTTGCCTCCATAGAAACAAAGACAGAAGGTTTTAGAGAACCACACTGTACTTTACAGATTCTTGTCAGCTGCCTTCATCCTTTCTGTCATATTATACTTTTGTTTGGACAAGCTCAAGTTCCCTCTTTTCAGTCTTATGAAGCAGGGATGGATCTGTAGATCTACTGCTTTGCAGTCAATCCTGCAAAACATGTGATCACCCCTTCCTACAAGGCTGCATACATAGCTGCAAATACATACAGTATTACAATGTTTTGGATTGCAGTCTACATATTTCTGGATGAATACGTTTTTTTGCAGATCTGGGACAAAAAGGATACTAACATGTTGGTATTCCATATTTGACTTAGTGGGATTACAAATTGTGCAAACTTGCTTGGAATGATACAGTTGTTAGCCATGCTACAAGAACATGTAGTATGCTTGACTACATTTTCTCTTCACATTTACCACACAGCAAAATATCTAATTCCTTGTATATTTTATAGCCCAGATATTTCTGAGAGCATCTATTTCCAAATTATCCCACTTAGTCTACTATACTTAATACATTCTAATATATTATCTATAGTCAGACTCCAATACATGAATTTTTTACTTTTCTTTTTTTAAATGTGGGACTGCTATACATTTTCACCAGTGAGGTCAGTTTGTTGTGCTTTAAAATCAAGTACGGCAAATTAGTCTTAGTTTTGAAGAAAAAAATAATTCTACATCTGTTCAAATCTGTACATTAATATAAAGTGTATTTTGCTAGAGCTATTTCTAATACAATCAGAACAAACTCTATTTGCAAAATGTTAGATTTTCACAGTATTCAATGAATAAATCAAATGGCTTTTAAAATTCATGTCTGATAATATGCTAAACAGTACCATATATATTATACACATTCCTGAATTTAGTTTTATGTTGACATAAATGTCAGTATGATGAATATTTTTCTTTAATTTTGATAATCAAGTTTCACCTTCTGAAACTGCCCTGAGTTGAAATGAGCCTAGACAGATCATGATATCACAGATGGATCAAAACTTTTTCAGATTGGATATTTGTTCTGATAAGGTTAATGAAAAAACCTTTAGATTTTTTTATCCATAAAAACAGCACAATGCATAGTTTCTTAGATTTAATAATAGGCTATGAGTTTTTTAATTTTATCTTTTTATGGAGGGATGAAATAGAATTGAAACAAAAACACGTTTAATTATATCTTATTATATGAAAACAAAAAGCTCTTTTTCTCTATTATCTAATTTTTTCCTTAATCATCAAACTACAATTCATCAATTCGTGTTTTTCTGTTTCATGCAAAAAGCCTATAAGGGGTTTCCAGTCAGCAATAAATATATTGTCTTTGCTCTAATCAAGGAAGTAAGTCTAACAATCATCTTCCATTATCTTCACCAACTATTCCTCTATTGTGTATAATGTTGAACATTTCCACTTTTGAACATGTATACTGTATAAAAACAACATTTATGATATTTTTCAAACTCTCTATCCATTAGTCCCTAAAGAAAAGCCCTGGTTTCAATTGTACATGTCTTTAAAATATTCTGAATTAGTAAATATATTTGTACCCCAAAAAATTTGGCTTTATTTCATATCTACGAAACATGATAAAATGTCCCTGCAGTTGTTGGGTTGTGATGGGAGGAAAAACAACAAGTTTTATACCGGAATATCTAAACCTGTTCCAGCTGCCTCAGCTTGGCTCTGAGATAAGAAGTGACGTTGGAAGGACATGTCTTCTACAACCAGTAAAAAAGGTTTTTCTGCCATGGTGACAAGGATGCGTGGAAAATTCCGAAGCAAACATGCCCACCACTATACGGTTAATAATTAGTCATTCGCTGCTGAAAAGGACGGATCTTATAAACGGGCGCACAACAGTTAGCATTAGAGCAATTACACTTCCTTAGTCCCGCTCCACAGGCTCAATTGCAGGAAAGCTAGGCAGGAGTTTTAACGAAAACATTGCAAAACGTTCAGTGAGAAAGTTCTGCATCTTTGTAGCTGGCAACTGCACTTGGCTTCAGCCTCAAATAGAACAGACTTTTTACTTTCACTAATGGGCACTGCCCGTTTTTGCAATGGATGACAAAGACTGGAGGACCTCACTGTAGAAATCATAGCCAACGGAACTCATAACAGGCATTCTCATTGCGGCTGATACGCTAAGCCAGTGTTTCTCAACCTTGACAATTTTAAGGCATGTGGACTTCAACTCCCAGAATTCCACAGCCAGCATTGCTGGCTGTGGAATTCTGGGAGTTGAAGTCCACATGCCTTAAAATTGTCAAGGTTGAGAAACACTGCGCTAAGCCCAATGGGGTTTGTTTATGCTAATGGTTTAGTCCGCTGTGATTGATTTCCAGTATAGAACGTGCCGCCTAACAGGCCCTGCGTGGAGGTCAACCTGCCCGCCGCTCTTTACTGTGTCTCCAGCTTCCATCAAACTCAGCTTCTCTAGCCCCGCCCACCCGCCTTGTCTCTGAAAAGCCCCCTATCGGAGAGTGCCTTTGCTTCCTGCCTTCGGGTGGATCATAGAGATAGGAAAAAAAAAATGTGTAAGTCTATCAACAGGACGGGAAATATTATTCCGTTCAGGTGAAAGGTCAACAGGAAAGCTTTGCTCGAGGAAAGAGACGGCGTGTGACGTCACTTCCTGGCCTTTTCTTTTGCAAGTTTGGCGGGCGCACGTGTTGCCCCCGAATAATTTTTGCAGTCGTCGTAGCTGCCCCTTGCCTGGTCGGGTTGCTATGGTGAGTAGGGGAGGGGAGACATGGAGCGCGTTCGGGAGGTCCCGGGTTCGGGGTGATGCATCTGGGAACGCGGTTTCGAAAGAGCCTCTTCTTGGCTGCAGTATTTGGTATGATGCTGCGGGTTACTGTACCCCCGACCCTGCAGGTTAATACACGTTTATTCCAACAGATGTGTTGGGATAGAGTTCTTATCACTTCTAGCCGAATGGACCCACCAGTTGGGAAAGGCTATTGTATGTAGTACCGAGCTATTGTATGTAGTACCGAGCTATTGTATGTAGTACCGGGTGGAAGCTAACCAAAGAGAGAAGCAACTTGGAACTAAGGAGAAACTTCCTGACAGTTAGAACAATTAACCAATGGAACAACCTGCCTCCAGAAGCGGTGAATGCACCAACACTGGAAGTTTTTAAGAAGAAACTGGACAGCCATTTGTCCAAAATGGTATAGGGTTTCCTGCCTGAGCAGGGGGTTGGACTAGATGACCTCCAAGGTCCCTTCCAACTTTATCATCATCATTATTATTAGAATGGCCAATGGACTATCCTGGTCTTTGCAGATTCCTGGTTTTCTGTGTGGGTGTATATCCGTGCATCTTGTGGGGTGAAGAATGGGATCTATTTTTTATGGAAATTGCTTGCAACTTTTATTTACACCATGCGGGAGTATGCATACATACATACATTTTACTTATTTAGCATATTTATATAGCCACTCATCTCATAAAAACGTGACTCTGGGCAGTGCACAAACATAACAATTAAATTACCTAACAATTTCAAAGTGGAGCATAATTAGAATGAAAAAAACATAAAACCAAGATTGCAGGAGAACATTAGTCACTGGATTCATACAACTACCTTGCATGAAATCCTTGAGGTTGACGGAGAAACTCTACTTTCAGGGCCTTCCAGAAATGGGCTAAGGGATGGTAGTGGGATTATGTTGCCAAGGATGTGGACCACAGCAGCAGCATGTTGCTTGAGTCCCATCAGGTGGAATTCCTTTAGAGATGGGACCCCAGCATATCTCTCCTGGGTGATTAAAAATAAGATTCCATGTTAGAATGCCTTCTGATAAATATATGGATTGATTATAATTAAAATATTGTATATGGTTCTTGTCACAGTGTATGGAGTTTGTTTAATTAAAGTTTAAAAGACAGTAAAATAAGGCCAGTTAATGGTTTATCAAAGTATTTATGGTCTGGATGATACTATGGTGCTGGAACTGAAGTACGAAATGATTTGTGAAAGACTTGAGAAAACACATCTTTGTACAGTTAACTTTGGGATGTACTAAGATAACACAACATGTAATTATGTCCACGAGTTTGTACAATTTTAAAACAGCATTAAACATTTTTAAAGCACCCATCAATCACCGATTTGGCTGTTTTCAGAGTGGTTGCACTATAATTTCCATAATCTTTAACACATCTCTGGAAAATGTCTCAAATAATGAGACCAGTAGGTTAGGTTATAACTGTCATAATAAAAGTTTCCTATATGGCATTTATAGAATTAAAGGTGTATTTTGGCAACAGTTGTTGAAATGCTATAATATTGTCTTGTTCTTATTATCTATGCAGAGTTTGCCTCTCAATCCAAAGCCATTTCTAAATGGGCTAACTGGGAAGCCAGTAATGGTAAAATTGAAGTGGGGAATGGAATACAAGGGCTATCTTGTATCAGTTGATGGCTACATGAATATGCAGGTAAGTCAAGCTAGAAGAAAATATCCATGTTATCCAACTGATGAAAATATAGGGAGAAGATGCTACTTCTGTGCTGTACCTAAGGACAGTAAGGGATTAGATTTGAGCAAATAAATTGAGGCTTAATCTATGCAAATATAGCATTGAATTATATGAATGCAGAAAAAAAACCCAAAATGCAAAGCCCAATTGCTAAATTTGGCAATCAGGTTAATCTCTCTATTTTATCAAACAGGGTTCAATAAAGGATTTATGCTTTGTTGTCTATATTTTTAAGCATTCACACTGTGCAGTGTTATTACTAATAAAGAAGAGGGGAGGTCTCCTTTGTTGATAGCATTCAAATATAAATTGGATTCTTAGTTTACCAAAACCCCAGTCAAATATCCCAGTTCCTATTAGGCTGGCTGCTAAAGGAAGAACAGACTTATCTGTTCCATGTTCAACAGTCTATTTTTATTACATGATAGACAAAGAAGAGGGGACTCTTCTTCCATGGCCAGAATGGAAAATAAACAGACTGCTGTGATCATCTTTCTTCCTGGGGCTCATCAGCCTACACAGAATTGCATGTACACAGATATTGTTAGGTAGTACAGCAAAGTTTTCTTAAATAATAAATTCACATTTTCATTATTTGTATATTAAATTCAGGACAGTGGTTACCTTTGTTTTGAAGATCTTTGCAACAAAAAAAGTTTGCCTACCATATATGATAGTAATTCTACTTTGTATACTTTTTGTATTTCTATCAGTCATGCTAGCCACATGACCACAAAAGTGTCTTCAGACAATGCTGCCTCCCTTGGCTAAGAATGGAGATGAGCATCACCCCCTAAAGACGGATATGATTGGACAGGGAAACCTTTACCTTTGCCTTTATCTATTGACTGAAATAGATAAAAATCAAAAACTGTGAATTAAATCACGTGAATTAAATCTCTAAATGCACACACTTCTTCAGAAAAGGTTAAAGAAAGTTAAAAATAAATTAGAAAATTTTTAATTATAAAACTAAATTATTTTCTTTTTTGGCTGAAGAAATCCTTTGTGTTGACATAGAGAAGCCAGTGCATTCTCTCTCTGTGTTGCTCTGACTCCCCACTTGAGGGTATGTGCAGTGGTGGATACCAAGGAAGAGACCTTTGCGTTTGGCGATGCTTTTTGCTGAGGGGGACTGCAAGCATGGATCAGGGCTACTTCCTCCATTTCTATAGGGAGCCTCTGAATTATGACCTTTCTAGTGAGAAAAGGGCACAGAGAAAAAAGACTGTTGGTACAAACTGTTATTAAAGTTGGTGGGTGTCAACATTTATGGGAGAAGGACATTGGCAGAAGGCAGGATGCACCATCAATTATCTGGGTAAGTCTGGCAGCACATACACAATAACATTGCTTTTGTTATATGAGAGTATGAAAAGCTTATGTGGATCATAGCCAGGTATGATGCCAGGAGTGTGGCAACAGCAAGAATAGATAACATATATTGTATATAGGGAAGGACAGAAATAGCACTGACCAGGAAGAACTCTCTGAAGGAAGCTAATGTGCTTCCTTCTACTCCATCTACTAAACCAGCCTACTTTTTTCTCTCTCTCTGCCACCTGATATACTGAAGTATCTCTTGATCACCATATGTGTCAGCTAAGGTGCCCTGTAATGGATACACACGCACACACACACACACACACACACACACACACAGAGAAACCCATATATATATATATATATATATTACAATATCTCTTGCCTTGCCGCCCCCAACTATATATATATACACACATACATACATGCACATATACATACACATACACACACCATGATAGACTCCTTGTAAGATCTCAGAAATCAGTTTATACTTTGGGAACCACCAATTTAGAGTACTAAATATTTGAACTTCTATTAAATGTTAAGTATGGATTGAAATACATGTGACTCTCCTATCCAGTAATACTCATTTCTGTTTGTAAAGCTTGCCAATACAGAGGAATATATTGATGGTGCATTGTCGGGACATCTTGGTGAAGTTCTGATAAGGTAACTTCTGCATGCAACTGAGTGGGTTAAAATGAAGTAGTGTGGTAAAAGTGCTTGAAGTGCTGGATGAAGACAGAGACAAGTTAAAATTCACAGCAGGAAATTTATTAGAAAGTATTGGGCCTATTACTACATTGCCAGATGTGTGTTGCACCTATCTTGCCAGATCATTGTGGAAATCAAATGAGAGGAGCCCTCTATGTGATATGCCTTAAACTCTGGGAGAAATTTTGAGTTATAAATCTAACAAATAACCTTTATCAACTACAAGTAGTTTATTGATTCAGCAACTGTTTAAAGTTACAACACAGTTGAATGAAGGGGACTTAAGACTGCTCTGTGAAACACGGGTGTCATAGCAGCCACACTGCTACTTTTTCGTCTGTGCTCCATAGCACTTTCCCTACACACCAGAGTGCTTGCCTGCACCTACCTGCCTGCACTCTGTAGCATCTGCCTGCCCAAAGCTTTCACTGGCAACTTTCAGCCATTGGCCTGTTTGCCTGGGACTTATATCTCTTCCCACATTACAATCAGGTGAGGTCCTCACTTAATAATCTACATGGTCCTGAAATTGACAGTGGCAACCAGGAGTGTTGGAAATGCTGTTTCTAAGCATGTGATGGTATGCTTTACAACCACATCGCTTAAGACATTTCAGTCCCTGTTGCCATTGTAAGCCAAGGATGACTACTTGGTACAAGTAGTCCTTGACTTGCAACTATTTGTTTAGTAATCATTCAAAGTTACAATGGCATTGAAAAAAGTGACTTATAACCGTTTTTCACACTGTTGCAGCATCCCCATTGTCACATAAGCAAAATTTTACTGTCCCAGGGTCATGTGATCACCTTTTGCAACCTTTTGACAACCAGAGTCACTTAAGAATTGTGTTACTAACTTAACAGCTGCAGCGATTCACTTAACTGTGGCAGCAAAGGTTGTAAAATGGGGCAAAACTCACTTAACAACTTTCTTGATTAGCAATGGAAATTTTGGGCTCAATTGTGCTTATCAATTGACAACTACCTATATTGGAAAAAGTGCATTAATCAGATATTTTAGTGCTATAATAAAATTTTGATTTTAAATTTTCTGTTAAGTTGCTAAATGAAATTTAGTTACATGACTCTCCTTGAACAATCAAAAAAATATGTTTCTTCCTCTCTCCTGAATTTCCTTTGCACCGCCAAAACATGCTCCCTCCCCCAAGATTTTAATGGCAAATGAAAATGGAAGGCAAAGGTCTGGTTAAGCAAAATACTAGAAAGATCTGTAGCATGAGCCAAAGTTTGCTTGTTTCACAATTTCATTCTTTATAAAGCACTGTTTCTTTAGTGTATTTGACAGTAATAGAAAAATGTATTAAAATAATGACACAAATTCAATAAAAAGTAATTTTAATATTAACCATAACACCAAATACAGAATTTAAATTGAAAGCAAATCAGCTATAGAAAACAGTCTTTTTTAATTCATGTGAATTATAGCAAAAATAACTTTTTATTGCCAGGTGCAACAATGTCCTGTACATAAGGGGTGTAGAAGAAGAAGAAGAAGATGGAGAAATGAGAGAATAATGTTGGAAAATCTTGTGTTTTTTAATGTGTAAAATACATGTTCAGTTGTAGCTTTTGAAAAAATTACATGTTTTGTAACTTTACTTTTTGGGGGCATAAAAATACATATTGTTGAAAGAAACAGTCAATATGAAAGATAAACAAGTATAAAAACTGGGATTATTTAGCCTTAATACAAATGTTTTAAAGCAAATGGGATCAGACTTATTCCATCACCATTTACTTTATATGATTCAGTTGGACTAAGCTAGGAGGAAGATCTATAACTAGTACAAAAATACACCTTACGCAAAAATATCAAGTGAAGTAGTAATCATCTTCACTTTTTGTAGTTGCATCTGTAGCTTGTTCTGCTTCATGCTTAGTTGTTGGAGGCTGTGACCGGTACACTAGTTTTCTTCCCATCTAAAACAAAGCCAAAAAAATATAAAACCTTCATATGCATTGGATTTTTAAAAGCAGTCTTAGTTTTCCTGTTAACGTTTCCATACATAGTCTTTCAGTTATATTTTATACAAATGTAGAAACAGTTAAAATGGATTCCTGTAGATGGATCTACTTAGAACAAAACTGTCAGACAAAACACACTCATTTCAAAGTTGCTTAGTTCTGCAAAAAAAAAAAAAAGGGGGGGGGCAGCCTTTTTAGCCTGGGAACTAAGTAATATCACATCACTGGACACCTTCCACCACTCTATTTGAATTCTGAAAACATTACTGAAAACATTAGTTTAGGATAGTCATGACTAACTTGGCCCCATTAATATGGATATGTATCTTAAGGCTAGATGTTAAATACCCTACTTTGATTGAAATTATGTTGTGCTGATATTGGTCCAGAAGCTAGGTATCTGCACATTTTTGTTATGGACTTTATAATGAAGAAACTGGATAAAAAAGTTATTTAGACAGTCGTGGTCTGTATTATTTATTTTATAATATCCTAATCCTTCAGAAAAGAAACCAGAATTAAGACCTATAAGATAAAAATAATTTAAGCTCTGATTTAAATGTGATTTTAATGGATTTTTAAAAAGTAGACAAAGTAGTTAAATCTTGTTGAACTCAAAATGCCACCCAAAGATTAGCAGCTGTGATAATTTCTTTGTGGGCAGAGAAAGAAATGCAAAAAACTATTTTCCCAAATGGCTTTATTGTAGTAACCTCTAAAGGGTTTTTAAAATAATGATTAGCCTTTGTAGTTTTCCTGGATCAGATGGATCCTCGGTGCAGTGTTTTCCAGAGAGGAATAATGGAAATTTTTGAATTCTTCCAGATGCTAATTTGACTGCTGAGTTATGTGCCAGTTTTAAGTTTCTGAACTAGTTAAAAAGGTATGAAAATTAACGTGCAAATACAGTTGCAAGGTCACTTTTTTCCAGAAAGCCAGATAAACGTATCCTCACATATACTCATTTTTAGTGTAGATAAATGTATTGTGCATCAGTTGGTATGTTACTTGACTGTACTATGCATATAATGAAGACAAACTATTCTGTTGGATTTCTCCAATCTCAATCTAATCTGGATGTGTGAGCTTCAATTCCCCAATTTCTCCAACTAGCATTGACAATTGAGGATTTTAAAGACCACATGGCTAAAGGGAGCCACATTGAGAAAAATGGATGAAACTTTTGCCTCATGTATATGTGCATGACGGGGAGTAGTCTTCCTTTTGGAAAAATGTATTCACACACCCTGATTTTATAAACAACCTTTCGTTTGGCTTAGATTAAGCAGCTTTGCTTTGTTCTTAATTTCTTTGGCATAAGAAATTTTAGATAAATGTGGATGAATTTTGTTATGTGAACACAACACATGTACCATAGTTAACAAAACCCAATTTCTGAGTTTGGGCAACATTGCTAATGAATTTAAAGTGGAAGAACAAGCGGAATTGAGTTAAGTGCTTGAATTCAAGTATTTCCCTGAATATATGTAGAATTCAAAGTGAAGCAAGAAATGGTAAGTACACAGCCCTGCCCTAATCTTTGCCTAATGTCCATGTGTTCAGATGGAAGTTCTGAAAATGAATTGTATTGCTTGAACATGAAATGGATACAACTGTCAACATAATCCAGGATCTTGCTTTATCTGGTCCTGGATCACACAGAGACCTGAACTGAAAGCATATAAGTTATACAGTGAGGGAAAAAAGTATTTGATCCCCTGCTGATTTTGTACGTTTGCCCACTGATAAAGAAATGATCAGTCTATAATTTTAATGGTAGGTTTATTTTAACAGTGAGAGACAGAATAACAACAACAAAAATCCAGAAAAACGCATTTCAAAAAAGTTATAGATTGATTTGCATTTTGATGAGTGAAATAAGTATCCCCTATCAATCAGCAAGATTTCTGGTTCCCAGGTGTCTTTTATACAGGTAATGAGCTGAGATTAGGAGCATTCTCTTAAAGGGAGTGCTCCTAATCTCAGCTTGTTACCTATATAAAAGACACCTGTATCAGTCAGATTCCAAACTCTCCACCATGGCCAAGACCAAAGAGCTGTCCAAGGAGGTCAGGGACAAGATTCTAGACCTACACAAGGCTGGAATGTGCTACAAGACTATTGCCACGCAGCTTGGTGAGAAGGTGACAACAGTTGGTATGATTATTCGCAAATGGAAAAAACACAAAATAACTCAAATCTCCCTCAGTCTGGGGCTCCATGCAAGATCTCACCTCGTGGAGTTTCAATGATCATGAGAACGGTGAGGAATCAGCCTAGAACTACACGGGAAGATCTTGTCAATGATCTCAAGGCAGCTGGGACCATAGTCACCAAGAAAGCAATTGGTAACACAGTACACCATGAAGGACTGAAATCCTGCAGTGCCCACAAGATCCCTCTGCTCAAGAAAGCACATGTACAGGCCCGTCTGAAGTTTGCCAATGAATATCTGAATGATTCAGAGGAGAACTGGGTGAAAGTGTGGTCAGATGAGACCAAAATTGAGCTCTTTGGCATCAACTTGCCGTGTTAGGAGGAGGAATGCTGCTTGTGACCCCAAGAACACCATCCCCATCATCAAACATGGAGGTGGAAATATGCTTTGGGGGTGTTTTTCTGCTAAAGGGACAGGGCAACTTCACCGCATCAAAGGGACAATGGACGGGGCCATGTACCGTCAAATCTTGGGTGAGAACCTCCTTCCCTCAGCCAGGGCGTTGAAATGAGTTGTGGATGGGTATTCCAGGATGACAATGACCCAAAATACATGGCCAAGGCAACGAAGGAGTGGCTCAAGAAGAAGTACATTAAGGTCCTGGAGTGGCTTAAACAGTCTCTAGATTTTAATCCCATAGAAAATCTGTGGAGGGAGCTGAAGGTTCGAGGTGCTGAACATCAGCCTCGAAACCTTAATGACTTGGAGTGGGACAAAATCCCTCCTGAGATGTGTGCAAACCTGGTGGCCAACTACAGGAAACGTCTGACCTCTGTGATTGCCAACAAGGGTTTTGCCACCAAGTACTAAATCATGTTTTGCGAAGGGGTCAAATGCTTATTTCACTCATTAAAATGCAAATCAATTTATAACTTTTTTGAAATGCATTTTTCTGGATTTTTTTGTTATTCTGTTTCAGTGTTAAACCTACCATTAAAATTATAGACTGATCATTTCTTTGTCAGCGGGCAAACGTACAAAATCAGCAGGGGATCAAATACTTTTTCCCCCTCACTGTAAGAGCAATGAGGCTGCGTACAGTATGTATAGCCCAGTTCTTTGAATCATCTTTTATACAAAAAAGCCCACAAAACTTCTAAAGTCACAGTTGGTTCTGGAAGCTGAATTTCAGGATTTGAGAGATGTGCCTTTTTAAGATGGGGTTCACTGCCCCTTAGTACATATGTTTGCAGTTTGAAGTGTGGATTGGTGCTCCTTAGCCACGCTATGACAAGGACAGCCTCAATTGACTTTGGTGAAGCATAGGGCATCTCTACTGGGAGGGGTACCTTGTGACACGCACAACAGTAGCCTCCAAGGCTGTATTTTCTTTAATGATGTTGGGCCACTGGCCATGTTGCATGCAGTTGACAGGATTATAATCCTAAATTGTGGGTGGAAAAACTGGCCTTCACTGAGAGTATTTACCATGGCTGAATCAAATAGTAGGTAATCAGATTAGTAGGTGCAAGGGGACGGGCAAAATAATAAGTCAACTTTTTAAGGCGGAGGTCAGTAAGGCAAATTCCCCCATTGCAAGCCCCATTTGCCCTTTCTTTTCTTTTTGGTGTACCATATTACTATTGCCCAAGATAATACCAGAGTTGTAGCAAAGTATTCAAGAGGTGCTCCAAAATAATGTATGCAAAGCAGCTGTTTTCAGATTTAAAACTGACATTATTTTTCAGATTTGTGCAGCTGCTTCAGAAGTTGCTGTTATCTCTCTCCATGTACATCTATAGCAGTGTTTTTCAATCTTGACAATTTTAAGGCATGTGGACTTCAACTCCCAGAATTCCATAGCCAGCATTGCTGGCTGTGGAATTCTGGGAGTTGAAGTCCACATGCCTTAAAATTGTCAAGATTGAGAAACACTGATCTATAGCTATTCGGCTAAAGCTACTTGCTCATGGAGACAGCTGGGAGCAGCTTCTGAAATAGTCAAGCTTTGCAAATAAATGTCTTCATGCTTTCTATGTTCCTGTGCATTATGAAGCATCTCTTTTGAATAATTATTATAACTTCATTAGGCATCATTCCAAAAACACATATGGGTAGATAATGTTGCTACATTGGCTAATCCTGTTCTTATAGTACATCTATTTAAGTCAATCTTTGACCAAATATTTATAAATCTTATTAAAAAATTGCAACCACTACTAAACTATATTGTAGGATGACTCTGTATATAGGAACATGTCTGTTCTTAAATGGGTAGAACACATAATTCACAAGTCAAGAATAGGCATAATTAGATATAACATAAGATGCTAGTGAAAGTTTTAACTACAAATAGTTTAGGCTTTGACAAAGTAGCTGGGCAAGCTGTTATTCCGCTATCAGCTGGCACAATCCAAGAAGACATCTTTAAAGCACGACTACCAACCCTTTTCTTTGGTTCTGCAATTGCTCTCTCAAGAGCAAGCTTCAGCCGTTCTTCCTGAATTCTTCTAAGTTCTTTCAATTTGTCTTCACGTATCCTTCAAGAACGGAAAAAGGGAAGACTTTGAAAAGGAAAAGTTTATTGTCTGAAAAAAGCTTCCTTTGTTTTTAATGTTCCCTGATGGTGTGGCATTTTATTATGTTTAAATTTGAAGAACTCAGCATTATTTCAGTGAGGGAAAAAAACATGTTAGACCACATAGTGAGAAGGTCAGAGTGACTTATTGGAAACCTGCAATGGACACACCCTGTCTGTGTGAGGATTGCATTTCAAGCTCTTCTTTCTTGCTCCAGTCAAAAGGAAATCTCCATGCCTTTTCTTTATGCCTTCTGGATACAGCTTTCATTGGTGCCAAAAGGTTTCCTTCTAATGAAAAGTACTTAGCACCTCATCCTTAGACTGTATAATTACATCAGTTATACATTTGCTTTGCCACTAAGAAAGTGCTACATTTGTTCATTTTAGAAGACAAAGCTGAGTGTCCTAATGGGCAAGAATAATATTTTATAAGTGAAACCCCCACAAATATTGTCCCACTAGATGGGAAATCTTATGCATTATATTGGTGAGAAAACTTCCTAATGCCTGAACTTTTCTTCCCTCTATCCACATATTTTCCTCCCATAGAGTTCCAATGCTATAGGCCAGTGGTGGCGAACCTATGGCACGGGTGCCAGAGGCGGCACTCAGAGCCCTCTCTGTGGGCATGCATGCTGTCGCCCCAGTCCTAGGCCTTCAGCTGGGTTTTATAAAACCTTTTCGCTTTAGGCCTCCGCCGCCGTATGCAAAAAAAAAAAAAAAAGGTTCAATCAGTCAATTTCAACTTCTTGCGGGGAAAAAAAAAGATCTTGCAAAGTTGGAATTGATTGATTGAACTTTTTAGTCCCACCCAGTCTGCCGTTACCACTGCAGCCACAGGCCATGCCTACCCAATGGGCCACACCCACCCGGCACGCGACGATGCATAAATGGGTTTTGGATTGCAGTTTGGGCACTCAGTCTCTAAAAGGTTCGCCATCACTGCTATAGGCTGAACATCCTGCAGTTTTTAATCATAGACTTTTTTTGCTAAATTGGGAGATATTTTTGGTTTGCATACTCATGTGTTTCTTATTTCTAAATCCTCTAAACCAGGCATGTCAAACTGCTGGCCCACAGACTGGATGTGTCACGCCGAAACCATGCCCACCCCATTGCCGGCAATGGGGAAAAAGTCCCGATAAGTCGTGCGATGTCATATGACGTCATGAGTTTGCCATGCCTGCAAACGCTTTCTGACCATTAATGGAGGCTCCCTATTTATATTATCACATTGTAATGCAACAAATATAATCTTCCATTATGTCACCAATCATGTATTGAGGTTCTTGAGAATAATCTTTCTATCTGTCCATATTCTCCATCACTTAGCACTTTCAGCATTGCTGACTGCTATTCTCTGTAGTGAATACATATCTGATCTCTACAGATATCTCCAACATTCTGTAGCTGTTTACACACACACACACACACACACAGAGAGAGAGAGAGAGAGAGAGAGAGAGAGAGCTCGGTATTTTATTAAACTTTTCTAGTTTAAATTTTTCCTGGTGTTCATGTTTGTTTGTTTTTTACAGTATGATTATGCCCAGGAATCGAAATGTTGATTTTTTTTGTCTACCTTTTAGGTCAAAAGCTGGACACATGGCCAATCTCAATATTGGTTAAAAATGGTGTTAGAATTCAGAGTTAAAATTATGTTCATTGATGAGATATTTTGGCAAACTCTTACTTTTGTCGTCTTTCTTTTGCTCTGAGCTTTTCGGTGACTTCAATGATCTCAAGATACTCTTTTGGAAGTATATCGAACATCTCACAGAGTTCTGAAACTCGCATTTCTATTTTTTTTAGCATTTGGAATGAGTTCATGCTGGATACTTCCTGTGTCCCACAGCAAACTTTGTATACTTCTGCTACTTTTTTAGTAAGCGAATCCAGTATTTTATTCTTATGATATAAAGAAGAAAATATCATTAGCTACTTTAGTCTTGAGAATGGAATAGAGAATATATTTTAGTAAATAAATACATAAACAAAATGAGGCAAATTCTGAGGTTACGTTAGAAAACATGAATCAAAACTTATAGTGAAATATTAAAGCTAAATACTAGGGGTAAGCATTTCCCAAATTTAGAGTAAGAATTATATATTTCTTGAACCATACTAAAAGGGAAGAAAATAATGTATAAGCAAAATGGTATTTGCTCAGTGAACAAGACCTAGCAATACAAAACTGGCAAAATACATCAGGCAAATTCAAATGGGTAATGTTAAAAAATAGATAGTTTGGTGGTCAAAGAGGCATAAAACCATTGTGGATGCAAACACAACTGGAAGAACCTAATGCACATTGGAAGAAGAGGTGTTCAGTTCAAGGTTAAAACATCCTGCTCCTTAGTGGCCCATCCTGAATTCACTGAAAGAGTTTCAGTGTTGGAATTGGCTATTCTGATCAATTGGAACTGCGAAGTGAGGATTGAGATCATCCATTTTAAGGTCTGGTTGCTTCTGGTAAAGCTGGAAAAACTTATTCAGGGAAGCAGTAAGTAGGATTGTGTGCCGATTTCAAAAACAGCTCAAGAAGGGTTTGGCAAGAAGGAAAAAACCCATGCAAAACAGCAGAAGAAGCCACTGTTCCTCCACAGAATGTTTAGTAAGGATTTGAAGAGAATAATTCCACATGTAAGAAATGGAAAGGCATACACATCATCAAGGAAAAGTACATAAAGATAGCAAAGAACCAAAGAGATGATTGGCAAAAAATCAATAAAGAATACTTATTATCTATTTATCAGCTCATTTTTATAGCCGTTGCTCAATATGCCAACACTGTTGAACAAAGGATCCTGGCAAGAATAAAAAAGGACTTTATTATATATGCTCAGAATAAAAAAGAAAATTGGTAGACTAGCTACAGTGAAAGGGCTATATTAAAAGGATATTGGAAATAATTAAAAACAATTGTTTTTGAAATAGTAATTGATTACAACCTCAGTATTGGTCAAAATTACAATGTGGCTGCTAAATAGTCTAATGCAATTTTATTTTAATACAAATACAGATTCTCAATCACATGTTTCAGAGCTAGTTGGGTTGTAGCTGGTTAAAGACTAGAGATTGGGAGGTTATAAGCTAGCTCTTCCAGAATGCCATTCTGGATGACTTTGGGCCAGTCACTCTCTCTCAGCCCTAGGAAGAATAAAGGACAATCATTTTTGCAAAGAAAACTGCAGGGACTTATCTATTCAGTCACCAGGGCCAAGAATGACTTGAAGGCACTAAAATAAGAATAAAAAACAGTTTATTCAGCAGCAGCTAGACTGTATTTCAAGCAGTCCATGAATGTAGGGGGATATATTACTTTTCAGAAATCTGAAAGGGTGCCACTTGGAAAAGGATTAAAGACCCATTCTGTCTCTCCAGAATGTAGGACATGGAATAGACTTAAGGAACAGGAAGATAATGCCATTTGAATGTAGGAGGAAAATAACTATAAAAGGAATTTGACAGAATAACAAATTAGGCAAAAAAAAAAAGGTAGTTTCCCCTTTGCTGCATATGTTCAAGCTAGAAAATGTTCAAGCTGGATTTTTACACTGCAATGTTTGCATGTATTCAGATATAGAAACATAGTATGTAAGAGTTGGAAGGGACCTTGGAGATCAGTTAGGTCAAGGGTGTCAAACTCGCCACGTGACATGACGTGTTGTGACGTGTCATGACTTTTTTTCCATTTCCGGAGCTGGGGTGGGCACGGTTTCGGCATTACGCATCTAGCCTGCGGGCCGGCAATTTGACACCCCTGAGTTAGGTCAATTGTAGCCTAAATACCTTCTGGCTTTATAGTTCCCTTACTTAGTTACCTAGTTGTTGGAAAAGGCACGAATGGTAGAAAATATGTAAGGAACGAGAAGTGGATGACCAGCAGCAAGGCAGATGGATTCAATTATAGTTGCTGTGAGTGCGTGATTGGAAGACCTGAAGGGCCAAATTAGGGACAGATTGTCACGGAGAAAATCTTTGTGATCATTAATGTATCCCTGATTTGATGGGATATAATAAATCAATAAACAAATCACTTAATTACCATCATTAGATATTATAGTGGTAATCAAAGCCGTTACTTTGTAATCCATATCAATAATAAATTGCTGGTGATTATTTTGGATGCTCTGCAATGTTACTCAGTATTTATCTGCCACTCTAGCACTTCTTAAGCTAAATGTTGCCCACTGGCATATTGACAGAATTAGTTTCCTTTGTCTACAAGTAATGAACCTGGATCAGCCCATTCCCCAGTTGTGACAGTGGACATAATATTCAACAGTTGATATGAACCTGGATCAGCCCATTCCCCAGTTGTGACAGTGAACATAATATTCAAAAGTTGAGTGTAAAGTTATAGTTCAAGCTCACCTTCTAGTGGTGACTTCCTGTATGTATTCCTGTAGCATTCCTGGCAACAGAATGGAAGCTCTTTACCATTGCTGCCTTTTGGGATGTTTTTTTATTTTCCAATCTAACCTAAAACCTTGATACTTCTTCTCCCATTCAAGAACAAACCAGGCCTGACCCTGCTTAGCTTCTGGGCTTAGGCAAAGGTGACTTGGTGCTGCACTTGAGGCCACCAGGGTATTACATACAGATAAGAGATACAAATGCATCAGTACAAACTGTGAATTACTTTTTTAGAATTGAACAATCTGTATTATGATGAAGATGGTTGATGCACTCAAACTTACCATGGATGCTGGATTATATTCTCCTGAAGAAAACATTTTCGCTTTTAACGCCAGTTCAGCACTTTTCCCATCTTCTTTGAGGCAAGAAGCTATCAGAGCTTCTTTTTTGTCTCTAAGGCGCTTTACCTTTTGTTCTCTATTAAAAGAGAGTATAAAACTTTATAGCTAGAATTTTAAATTAGTTTGTCTGTTTTAAATAGCTGAAGTACTCGTCAAGCTTTTCTATTCTAAGATTTTTTCAGCAGAGGAAACAGTACATTTTTACTAAGACCAAACATTTAATAGGAATTTCCTGACTCAGGGATTCCTGGGAATTGTCATGGAGTGATTTGTGACAGAGATGGTCTTGAGTTTGTAGCAGTGTCATTATAAAATGGCTAATGCTGTAAAATAATTATCAAAATGATTT